TATGTGTGTGTGTGTGTGTGTGTGTGTGTGTGTGTGTGTGTGTGTGTGTGTGTGTATGTGTGTGTTTTCAATAACTCAGACTGACAGTCAGCTTCAGGTGAAGATACATATTAAAGATGGAAAAGCCTCAGTCACTCACACATACACACGTACGCACACATACACACAAACGTGCACACACCTTTATCTCTGTCCTATTGAATAACTCTCTGATGCTTTCCATATTCCATGCGAGGGATTATTACAGCTTACCCACAATCCCCAGCAGCTGATTATCCTGCATGTTGACAGGACACAGTTGTGCTATCGGCCTTGTGCAGCAGTCAGCTCTGTGTATGTGTGTGTGTGTGTGTGTGTTTGTGTGTTTGTGAGAGAGTGAGAGAGAGAGAGAAAGATGAATACTGTATTTAATGTGTGTGTGTGTGTGTTTGTAAACTGTTTGTGTGTGAGAGAAAAGTAAAGATTTATTCTGCATTTATATGTGTACGAGAGGAGAGGATATTATTTTCTTCTTATGTGTGCATGTGCATACGAGAGGAAATTACTTTGTGTGTGTATGTGTGTGCGAATATGTGGGTGTGTGGTGCTCAACCAAGCAGGTGTTTGTGGTTGATACCTGCAGCTCCAGCAGTGCTGATCACCCCAGCGTGGCACCTCACCTTGGGAGGGAGACAGCTCTAAGCTCATTAGTGCAAGCACACACACACACACACACACACACACACACACACACACACACACACACACACACACAGGTGCAAATAGGGTGGACTACCTGGGGAGGCTAGGAGGAAAAAATGCGGGGGGAAAAGAGGAGAAAGGCAAATAACCTCGGGGGAGATAGAGCAGAGGAGAGGACAGGGAAGTTTACCACATGAGAGATAACTGACTTGTGAAAAACAAAGCGTAAGATGAGGGAAGGAGGGAGTTCGAGGCCTGAAGGGACAAAAAGAGAAAACAAATAAGAAAAGGGAAAAAAAACCCATCTTAGTAGACAAAGGCTTTGGAGGAAGGAGGAACAGAGGGAGGAGGGAAACATAAATGAGACAGGGAGGAGGATGAGAGGAAGAAGGAGAGAGGAAAAGAGGAGGAGGAAGGAGGAGTGAAGACAGCGTAACAGGATGTAATGGTTTTAAAGGGCTGGTTTTATTCACGCTGGGAGCAGCTGCACTCTCGTTATCCCCATCTCGTATTTCTGTGAATTCAATTTAATCGGAGGGTATTGTAGCTTGTCTTCCTTCCACTGTTCTGCTCCATTTAAGTGATGTCTACAAACCCAGTGAAGAAATTTAAACAGCATCACAACAGCTTTCATTCTGACTGAAGAACGGCTATTTGACAGAAGTCACGTGTAAATAAGCAGCTGCTATGACAACCAAGAAATTAACATTCCTCAGTAATACTTTATTGCAGGTGCATTTAATAGTAATGTTGTGATTATTCGTCCAAAGTTCTTATTTTGATCTTATATTGATATGAAATCCTCTGCACATCCAGTTAGCCATTTTTAAATTGAGAAAAAAGCCTGTATCTTTGACCCTGGCAGTGCTGCAAAAGACACGACCATCATGAAGTGATCGGCTGGTGTACCTGTCTGTCACTATCCAACCAGCCTGTCTTTCCTCACCCTGCTTGAGTCTGAGAAATACACCACTGATGCAGAGACGATCGCCAGAAGTTGCTGCCAAAATTCCCATTTCAGACAGACAACGACTTCCAAAGCAAGAAAAGTGAGTATTCATGAGTTTTGGTGGCAGAGCTTCAACAAGGGAGCCAATGTGAGGGGGTGGATGTATATTTTTTTTTTTTATGTCGGTCTTTAATATTGTTTGACCAAGAGACAGGCATCCTTGAGAAATAATACTTGGAACTATTATTATTAAATAAGTAAATAAATAAAATAAATAAAAATTGGATTAAATAGTGCCACTAACAATATACCATAAATGTACACTTAATCACACAATCATTTTTATTTCTGTTGGTTTGGGTCTATAATCCAGATGCATATTATGCCTCTACAGTGAAATGTGAACCCTAAAACTGAAAATATATAAAGTGAGAACTACCTGAAATGTCCCTCACGTCCTCACAAATGTAGAAATGCACGTGGGCTAACATCCATACTGTACACATAAGCTGAGCAGTGGGAAGAGAACACCTTTTTTGTGTGGCATTGAGATAAATAGGATTAGGGATTTGGGAGATTTAGCGGGAATAATCCATCTGTGTATCAGAGAGAGACAGCAGCAGCAGCGATGATCAAAAGAGAACGCTTTGATTCAGAGCTCAGAAATCTCTGAAAAGACGCAAAACTTGGAGCGACATTTTGTAAATAAAATTCTCCAAGGATCAGCTTTCATTTTGTCAGTGTGGCTGCTGTAATTGCCATATAATCACCTCATACAGTACAACGCTGCATGTGTGAGTGTGTGTGTGAGTGTGAGACCCGTGGATAGAATATTCACAGTAGGCTAATTAATCAGATTTACAGTTTACATCAGGGGAGAGGGAGAGCGAGTGTGTTTGTTGTGGGTGTTAGTATTAAGCAGGGGATTGGACTTGGTTATTTAACACAGACGATTTGAACAGCTGCTCTGTTCTGCTACTATCTATACCTCCATATCAATACTGCAAAAAAAATCCACCGGCCTCTGCACAGCTGTACCTTCACTTTCCAGCAGAAACATCCCCGGTTGGTTAAGTGGACCGATTCTTCATCTCTCACCTTTAGATCCATCATGCCGGACCACAGTGGTTTGGACCTGTAAGTGTCCAATGAGGAAGGAAGCACTGTCAGCTGGGAACAGAAAAACAGAGTGAATATAAAAAATACAAACTTTAAAATATAAATAAAAAACACATTTATATCACATAGAGACTATTTAAAACAAGTGGGCTTTTCAAAGAGGAGACAGTGTGATTGAAGCTCTCTTGACAGACGTCAATAGGTGTGAACATGTTGCAGCTGCAAGTAGCACAAGAGAAAAACCTTTGCCTTTGTCTCGAAAAATCATCCACAGAGCAGGTGACTGATGTGGCACACAATGAGGAGAAAACACTGAGGAGCGCCACTAGACATCTTCAGGCCTGCGGTGAAACAGCAGACATGAAGAGGACCACAGAACTTTTCGTTTTCGTGCATGGAATTACTCCCAAGTTTGATTTGACATAGAATTTCAGTCTGTTTGAGTCAGGCACGTGTTGCTCTTGCTGAGTAGAAGCATCATCATCATCACTATCATCTGACATTAGACACCTCTAAAAACAAAAGCAGCTCCAACCACGTTAGCACCATGTACATGTTTGATCGTTTAGTTTGCAGAACTGAAATCTCCCTTGGTATGAAAATACCAAATGTTGGAACAGTCTTTACCCACTTAAGTTTGTGCCGATACCCCACACTCACTCTCATGAATGTGAACAATGTTGTTGAGATTTTGGAAAGCAAAGAGGATTCAGGGCCATGCCACTGTGGCTTTGTAGAAAAATTAATATACACTGAACAAAAATATAAACGCCCCATGTCAAATATAAGAGTAATTACTAATCTTCATATTGGCGTTGATAACATCGTGGTATGGCCATTTGTAACGGATTGACAGTCCTTTGAACATGATAGGGGTCAGGTTGAGGAATTTGATTGTTCAATATCTTGTGTGTTCGCCAGCTGTGTCTCTCAGAGCAACACATCTTCTTCGCATGAAGTTGATCAAATTGAGTTGAGTCGGTTCCTACGCTGGACAGCAGTGAGATCCAGACCGCGGGGAGGGTGCCGAGCATGCAAGTTGGCTTCTCGTAAGCGGATATAGACAGTCTGAGGTGTGATGCGTCTGTTGTGCAGACCAATGGTCTCATCTGTGCGTGTCGCTGGTCTTAGCCGATCCCGCAGATGTCGGAAACGAACCCTCAAACGGCCTATGGTCCGATAATGGACATTGAGCCGTGCAGCTTCTGCTCTGGTGGTCATCCCTGCATCCAACATGCCAATGCCACGTTCCCGCATAACTTGCAACATCTGAGGCATTATGACTTGCGACAAAATTTGACATTTTGGGGTGGCCTTTTATTGTCCCCAGTCAAAGGATTGTCCAGCTGTTGCTCATTTTGTCTGATCACCCACTGGACACACCCCACCCATGCACTGAGTAAAAAAACTAATCAGTGTAATGCTCACTGACAGCGAGTTGGATTAAAAACATTATACACAAATCAAGAGAAATATCACTTTTGTACAATAAAATGTCAGCAAATGTTCATTTACAGTTGTTAACTCCACATGGCAACAATATTTTACATGGGGCGTTTATATTTTTGTTCAGTATATATCTATATATATTCAGAATAAATTGGGTTGAGCGTTAATGTTGCTTGATACAGATAATACCAAGTTATTTAAATTTTTCTTGAATCCTTCAGAACAACTCACTCAACCCTGTTGAAAATACTGGTCGCCTATTTGCATTTTCTCTGTTGGCTTTAATTGAAAATATCAATAATGCATACCAGATGTAATCAAAACAAATGATAGTGATGTATGATGATTTTACAAAGTAATAAACATATTTTATTTCAAACATCCAAGCAAAGCAAAATGAGGACAACCACTATCCTCCTGGGCACTGAGGTGTTGTTCCAGTGACTAACTTCCCCCATTAAGTTTTGTTTCATTTCCGGATTCTAAATCATCTGTTTATGATGCTGATTTTAAAAACTTTGAGCTTCTTTTAAAATTATCTGTGATTGATCCAAACAAGTGTTCTAGTTCCAACCCAGAAAGTCCAGGAAAACCACTCCAGTTACAAAAAAAACATTTATTGTCTAGACATTTCAATCATTATAGATTAGCTAGCATTAAGACCGTTTAGTATTTCTCCTGATTAGACATTTCTTCTCCATGTAAAAGACGTACAAAAAATTTTTGTTATTCCTAAAGCATGTCCTGTAAGAAAAAAAACATATATACATTTTTACAAACATTCAACAGACAGAAATAGAAAAAAAAAACTAAACACAAAGTCATGAAATAATGGGTTTAAAATGGCTGAGATTGGTTCCTTCCTGAAGCTGAAATACGACTTCTCCTCCTCGATTAAATCGTCCAGACAATTTATGTAATCCTGTTTGCAAATCCCACAAACTTCTCTGTAAAGAGAAAAAAACTTTTTAACGCTTTAATGCAATTAAGCCGGTTTCAATAATGCGTTCAAACAAGTGACCATGTGGGAAAATGTCATTTGTTCAGTGAATGTATCGCAGAGGACATTTCTTCATATAAGATTTCCAATAAACGAGATGAAATCACATTGAGCTGGTCCTGGTTCACAAAGCATGATTATACATCACGTGTTTCAAAGAGTGACAAAGGCAGGGTCAGGGTGAATTTACAGGAGTAAGACTGAAATTATAGGGTTGCTTCTTTTAAATCTTAAATATAGTGGAAACATCTTTTATTTGAGATCATCATCCTAATTATCATGACCTCAACCAGTGAACTTATTGTCAAAGAGAGCAGAGACAAATGAACTGCATTAAAATGAACAGCAGGGACATGTTTACACTGCAACAAAAGAAATCAATCTGAAACAATATCCAGCCGATCAATAATCCAAACTGAGTCTCTGAAATATTGATTAGTTGATGAAAGAGCTGTTCAAGAAGAAGGAGGAGGGACCAAGACTTTAAACATATGAGGGCTCATGTGGCTGTTTCCTTTTTCTTTTATGCAAACTCAAGCTGGGAATCAAACTTGGATCTTTCTTGCTGTGAGGTGACAGTACCAACCGCCACACACAGTGCCGCCTTCCTGTCAACATTTCCGTCAACGTCTTTAAGACTTCAGGATTTGTGTTCGGATGAGTTAAAACGTAAGAGAAAGGTTTGAGTTTTTGAGGATAAATCCAATTATCAGAACAACATTTGCAGTATATTGTCCTGTTTTCAAGGCTTTTTTAGTTTGGTAAATATTTCTCCATTATAAAAAGACTTTAAATTCTCTTGGATTGCATTAGAAGGACGTACAGCACCTCACGAGGATCTTATTAACCCATCACAGAAGTAGCATGATGATGGACAAGTCAACAAGGCCTTCAGTATGTTTCAAAGGTCCTGTCAGGGTATTTTCTAAGTACAGTGTGTACCGAGTGTGTGGGTGGACGGTTGCAGCTACAGTGCAGTTAGTGAGGTTTGGACTTAGTGTTAAGACTGAAAAAAGGTACTTTTCACACAGTGTAGGTGTTTCAGAACAGCAAGCTGACGTTTTTAAGGTCAAAGAGTCAAAGCTGAGAGACAAACAGGCTGTGAGCGATATCTGTCGAGAACAAATCAAACATGTTCCGCATTCTCCGTCTATAAAATGTTCTTCTGCTGTTGCTTCTCCTCTCGTCTGTCAAAAGGTATGTCCACATCCTGCTCCGTCTTTCTGTTGTTTGTTCACATATTCAACCTGCTAGAGTTTTTCTTCTGGGGTCTCCGCCCCCCGGTCGTCACACCGAATCAAGTGTCTTAGTATCTGATGTTCAGTACAGTATTTTCCAGAGGAGTTGGTCCCAGTCAATCCGATGCACTTCAGTTCACTCATTTCTTGGTCCCTGTATCTGATCCCAGTGCAGTCCACAGCAAAAAGCAGCAGAGACAAGAACATCCAAACGGTTCCTCTCGTTCCATTAACATCCAGCTTCTCGAGTGAAAAGCTCCCAGCTGATATTGAGTCATGTTTACTGGCACAACACACGTGTGCGTGTTCTCTCCTTTCTATGTGTCTTCGGCAGATGTAACAGAAAAACAGACCGTGATCATCACTGTTGTCTGCGATTTCAGGCTCCATTGTGAACATTTCTAGAAACAAATCAGTGTGTGGAAAAAGAGCAGATGTCCTTGATTTCCTTTCACATTTTTAGTAGATGACCTCATAAACAGTGGCCTTCTTGTCCCCTGAACCAGTGACGATGTACTTGTCGTCCACAGATATGTCACAACTTAGCACAGAGGAAGATTCTTTAGACTGCAGAGAAAGAGAGACAAAACGTTTTTAGAAAATACAATTATGTCTGCTGCTCTCATTCTAATCAGTGATGGGTAATAAGTATAAAACAGTCGCTGTCACATTAGATAATGTTGTCACAGACACACTGATGCAATATTTCACTGCATGATCCAACACGAACTTTGCAACTTTTATGTGTCTTGAAAACTGGAAGCAACATTAAAGAACGCTGTTTTGGAAAAGAAATTATGACAATGACACATAAATAGTTTCCACCAATTCAGTGCATTGGTGAAATGCAGCACTGGTGGAGAGGGGGCTTTATGAAGCTGAGACGAACAAACAAAAACCTAAAAGTAAAACTGTAGAATTAAATATTTTACATAGAGTGTGTTTGACTTCAATGGCTTGTGCAAAAGGTTGTTTACACAGACTTAAAATGCAACATAAATTTAGTTTAGCATTTAGTTTTATAACTTTTTTTACAAATAAATAAACTGCTTACAACTTGGAAATGAGTAATAGTTGGAGCACTATAATTGGGGGTGAACGTAAACAGTGACACGCAAATTGACATACGTGTGATTACATCAACATATTATTTTCCAATCTCCATGTTAATCTTTATATTCTGAAAGTTGTGATCTGTTGTTCCAACCTGGAATATGCTGGCTCCATAGGGTGTTCTCCATGCATTTAGTAGGTTATCCTTTCCTGTGCTCACAAACCATTTACCTGTTAGAAAAACACAAACAAACATGACATTTCTGGTTAAAAGGTAAATAATGACATAATCAAAGATATATGGTTAAACAGCAAAAACACCTAGAGATACAGTTACATCATGGAATTTGCATAACACATTTAAGAACTAAGTCTATAGAGAAAGGTTTTATGAGGGACCACAAAATGAGAAGAAGTGAGGTCCAGGCAGTTTCTTACCACAGTAGGCAAACTGCAGAGACAGTACACAGCTCTCGTGTAGGTGAAGCTGGTATTTGTCGGGTTTGGTGACATGAAGGACCTCGACGTTGCTGCTCTCCATTCCCACAGCGAGCCACTCTCCCGTCGGACAGTAGCCAAGAGAGAAGATCTGGGCAGGAGAGCGAGGACAATTCCAAAATTAACTGAGCTCAAGGGGGAATTCTACTTTTAGTGCGAGGGCTTCGTAGTTGAAACACTATTTGCCAGTACGAGTGTGCACCTGTGATGTGAAGTCGTGCTGCTGCAGCTGCCGCCCCTCTCTCAGATCCCAGGAGCGAACCGTGTTATCGAGGCCTCCGGTCCACAGCTTGGTGCCATCATTGGAGATGTCAATACAGCTGGCTCCATCTGTGTGGCCCTGGAACTGCCTGCAGGATACATGCATACATTCAGAGTTAAATAAAGACAGAGAAATGTTTCCACAAAGACACTGGGAATCAGGTTGCCTGGGCACTTGGTGTGCATCACAGACAATCAAATGTGGCGAGCGTACAGTATTTCTCATCATTTTTGCTCAATATTCTGCTTCTCGATGATACAACTTCTAATCATAAAGGTCAAATAAGCCTCGGCTGAGTAGAATAAATCAAGAAGGTCAATATTAAGGTTAGCATGTGGTTGGAGGATAATTCTAAATGTGTCAAATGTAACTCTGCCAAACATTTAGTTATATTTAAACGTCTTCCAGCATCCTTTCTTTCTACAATCCAACTGCACACACAAGGTCTCTCTTACCTAACAAGTGTCTGATTGTGTAAATCCCAGACTGCGATGTTGCCATCACTGCAGCAGGAGAAGCAGACCTTAGAGTCCGGGCTGATGGCCAGAGCATAGCACGCCGGTGCTGATGACGTTAACTCTGCCTTGATCCTGGGAGTGGGTGTGGCCAGATCCCATATTGACAAAGTGCTCGCCTCACCACCCACTATAAGCGTTCGCCCATCAGGGAGGAGGCGACAGGAGCGAATGTAGTTGTCTCGGTTCTGATGGGGTACGCACACAAAAAAGATTTGTAAATAAATAATTATTAAAAAATGATTATAAGGCAACAAATATCAGTATAGTCCTTTCTCTCTCTCTCTCTCTCTCTCTTTGATTGTAATGAGTAGGATTCCAAACTTATGACACAAACAGATACCACAGCATAATAAAAATAAGCTTTTCTTTAAATATTATTGCAGTAAAATCTTATTTCATTAACTTAAAACAATAAAAGGATAATAATACAGTGAGTTTGGGCACCCAACTTACTCAAATGTTAAGAATTGGGCTGAAAATATTCTGTTTTCTGGTTCTGAGAGTGAGTGGTTTAGGAAACTGAAACTGAAAAGTAGCTAAAGGAAATGCAAGCAGTCAAAGGAGGCGATTACTATGTACTGAAAACCCAAACTTTGGCACACCCCTCAATAAAATGCTTCCATATACAAGTTATTGAAATTTGCTGAAGCCTTTGCTACAGTTGTACTGAATATTTGTCCACCACCCCACTTACCAGACAGTCGAGCTGTGACACAGGGCTCTTGTTTCCTGGGTGACTAATGTCCCAGACCTTGACACAACCCTTCCCTCCTGTGTAAACGTGTCTGGTTGGATTACTGATGGTGACAGCGCACACCACCTCTCCGTGGTTCAGTGTGTTGATTTGACGGGCGTGGCGAGGGATGCCCGGACCTACCAAAGCATCCGGGGGGAACGGTACTGGCTGCATCTGTCCATCAGCCGCCACGTGAAAAGAGTAGGCACTGATGGTAGAAAAAGAGGAGAGTTGGTTTACCATGAAGACAGAAAAACTGGAAGGATGAACAAAGGTGGAATTATAGAACAGATCGGGTGTTCCACAGGACGATGGGGGAAATAGGTCCGCAAACACACTTACGGTTTTCCACCAGGGATTCCGGTCAGACTTGGAGGTATTCCAGGAACTCTCATGTGAGGATGAGGATCAAACCCAACCTTGAGGAGAGAACACAGACATGTTATGATCGCAGTGCAAACACATGCCCCCGGGCATCGACAACAACTCACAAAGGTCAATATTAACCTGTGGAACAGAGCACAAACAAAGCACAGAGCAAAGAGACACTCATGAGCACAGGCACCATCACAGCCTGGATGACAAGTATAGGAGTCAGCAAACACACAGAGGTGGTGCTGACACACAAACACAAACACACACACTCAGTTGCTGAGTACACAACCTGAGTTTCTATTAAGTGTTGCCCAGACACAGCTGTGAGTCTACTAAACCTATTTAAACAGTGTAATGAACACTATGCAAATACAGCCAAGAGTGATGAGGGGACTCAATGCAACGCACACCAGCTTACACACTAGATAAATTCTAACACACACACACACACACACACACACACACACACACACACACACACACACACACACACACACAGCGATAATTACTGACAATTTCTACACTGTACAATATGAATAAAATGCTAATTAACCTCTGAATGTTTTATTATTTTAAAAGTAATATATTATAGTGGATGTCATTAGGATTTTCTTCAAGTGTTCAACAAATAAAACAAAAGTAAAATAAATGTAAAATAAGTAAAATATGAGGTCTGATTACAACATAATTTACTTTATAAGAATTCCCTGTGACAGCAAAGTTGGATGGAGATTACCTGTGTAAATTAAGGCATAACAAGCAGTTTTAATTTACATTTCTGGTAGGCACAACTGTTGTAACTGGTGCAGCCATTACTCAATTTCCCACCAACGGCGACATTATGAGAGAAAATAATAATCAATCTTCCGCAGAGTAACTGAACCCTTCGACTCAGGGGGAAGGATACAACAAAATCTCCGACACTCTGAATGTTTCCTCAGAGCAGCGCAAGGTCATGAAAATGGAAAGAACATAGTTTGGCTGTAAATCTGCCTGGAGCAGGTTATAGGGTTTTCGTGGCTGAGTTGTGAGGGCTGTGCATACAACTGTTGCCCAGGAGCTTCAGGGAGAACGGCAGAGAGGAAGACACAGTTGAAATAAAAACTCATATGAAGGCAACAGAAGTTGAAGGTGTGACTTGAAAATTCACTCTGTTCTGTTCACTCACATTTATCATGAACTTCACAGAGTCTGAGAACTTTTACAAAAAAAAGGTCGGGATAAAAACTGAAGAATCTGATGGATGTTATCTACACAGAGTCAAGTCTTGAATTTCTCTGACAGCAGAATGTACCTCATATTGTAATAAGGGTGGTGAAAACTTATGTAATAAAAACTGTTGTATCTTTTAATTGAATTTGGATTTATTAGTTTCACTTTGATATGTTTACCTATCAGGGTCAAAAAAGCCTTGTGACTTCCTCTGTGATTCAATATGATAGAGAAAAACTTAAAGTGTGCTTGAAACTTTGAAATGTCCCTTTACCTAAAAATAAATAAGTCTTTTCTACTCACCATGGGTGAACGGCCATATGCAGCCACAGCGGCCGCGGCGGCAGCGCTCATCTGGGGTGACATGTTGTGCAGTCCAGCAGCATAGGCCGCAGCCCCTGCCAGCTCCCCATTCATCCCTGCTGCATGGGGCAACATACCAAAAGCACCCGGGTATGGGCCTGGTACAGCCAGGGGCGTTCGCAAACCTGCAGCTGAGGAGCAGAGGGAAGGAAAAATAAATACATAAAACAAATTATAACTGAAACAACATCAGCTTCAACATCCCTTAAGTATTTAAGGATACAAGCAAACAGATCTCTGATCGAAATTATGACTGTTGGCAATTAGATTTATCTTCCCTTTCTTCCAGACTCTGGGGAGCTCTGCACAAATGTAAGTAAATGTTTTCCATGAAACATTGGTTAACCCTGACAACATTTCTTTCTTTTTATCCGTAACTCTTTGACCCTCAATCGTGAGGTTACATTTTCCTGGAGGCAGTTTAGAAAACATAACTTAAGGCCCTCTGGCAAACATAAGCATATAAATAACATTCAATTACAAATGTTTATACTGGACTTACTAGGTGGATGTGGTATCTCCATGGAGGGGGGTTTGGACAGACTGGGCCTGATTCCAGGTGTGGTGCTTGGACCAGGAGTGGAGTCACCTCTGGGTGTGGGTGTGCTTGACTTTAGCCCAGGTGTGCCTGCTTTATCTCGCTGCCACACACAGAGAGAGACACTCAGACACACAAGAAATTTCTAACTAGGGATTAAAGACGGACCTATACTGGATATTTGAGGTCAATGCCCCAAAAAAATTATTTTTATTATGTATAACAGTGGTTGTTGGTTGTTAGTCTATTTGTAGCAGCGATTATAGTTTTTGCTTGTATTTTTTTGTTTCTGTTCACTTGTCGCTGAGCATGACACTGAGTGAAATTAGTTAGTAGCCAAATTTGGTACAAAGCACATTTGCTCTTTGAGATTAATCTCTTTATGTATTTTCCCCTCTTCGATAATCCCCCCATCTATCTACCTTTTTTCAGAAATTCAAATGGGCATATATCAGACATCATATATCTCTCTCTCTATATATATCTATATATATAGAGAGAGATATATATACCAATATACTGTATCTGTACAAGGAGCAAAACACAATACTGCTTCCACTGTATCAGACTAATAATAAAATCGAAAGTAAATCACATTTCTTACATTTTCATACATTTGTGTCCACTGGTAACACAAAAAAGTGATTGATGCATATGTATTTGCTATCAATCGATCCACCCCCCTTGTTTATCTGTCTCTACACTAAAACAACTACATTCATCCCTACCATTGCCATCTCTTTGGACTTGAGGGAGGAGGAGCTTGCTGATGAAGCAGTAGAGGCTGGACTACAGGGGTCTTTCTTGAGAAGACGTGCTTTATCCATGCCGTTCTCTCTGGGTGAGGGGAGAGGAGTGCCACGAGGGGAGGCTGGATCCTGGTGGAGGGACAAGTGGAATACCAGAGTAAAAAAATGACTGCATAAGAGGGATTTTCCTGGAAGGAACATTTCAGTGACAGCAGTGAATATATAGCAGTTCCTTTAAAATAGTAACATTTCCCATAAAGGTCTGTACATTTTGTTCATGCATCACACTCAATTAAAGAATTACAACATACTGACCTCATTTGAAACATCCACCACTAAATTATCATCACTTTTGTCCCCATCGCTATCCTGCAAATACAATCAGAGCATGTTAGTTCATTATTTAATATTCTCACACTTCCCTCTATGTCTATCAGTTAATAATTCCTGTTACTACTATACTATACTTTATATAGTCCTAATAACCTAAATACGTTCATTGTCAAGTATAAGTACCACGTGAAACATCAGTCTCAACATTCCACGTGTAACTGCAGATTACCCTCAGTTTGCCTTTCACACATGCACAACACAGCGGGGGGGTTATCTGCACTGATGCGTTTGCAACAGCATCAAATCCTAAGCATTATTCAGGCGAGAGGTGGAGCAGCCGGGTGCAGCAGACAGAGGCAGGAAGTGAAGTATTAACTCTGCTGCGGAGATCACATGATCATGTTAGCAGCACCTTGACAGCATATATATATATATAATTGTGTCTGTCACGTGCACAAGCATCATCAACCGCCCCACCCACTCGCGGTGAATCCAGTAGAGGATCCCCCGCTGTGTTCACACATTGGGTTCCCCTTGATTTCCATGGACTTTATACTGGGAGGCCAGTAACTGTGGAGCATCTCACTCTGACATTTTGTCTCCACATGCACCTCCTCCAGAGAAAATACAGAGGAACAGTGTATGTCTGAATGCAGCTTTAGATACAAACACTAAATATTGAGGCTTCCCCAACCGAATATTTGCACACAGTGACACAAACACAGCAGAACAATCTCTTACATAGTGACTGGAGTCCTTGTCGTCCACCTTGCGTTTCTTGGTGTCGTTTGAAAAATCAGGTCCATTGCGTCGCTTATCTGAGTTCCTGAGACTTTCTGGCAGCAGCGAGTTACTCTGCAGATGAGAGCAGCAAGGAGGAGAAGAAGGAGAGAACACCGAGGAACAGGAGAGAAGGGGGAAGAGAGATTACAGAAAATAGATAGGCAGGGTAGAAAGAAAATAGAAAAAAGAGAGAGAGGGAGTTTGAAGGACAAAGAAGAAAAACAGAGAGAAGGGGATTTGCAGAGATGAGACAATTTTGCCATTTCCAGTTCAGGTTTGTTGTTGTTTGTGTTTATTCTCCATGAGCTCAATAGACTGTCTAATCCTTCTACCAGTAATTACACCAGCTATTCAGCTATGTTCAGAGCAGGTTAGAAAAACAGACTCTTACTTGCAAACAGGTTAATAGTTCACAGACTCATGAATTAAGTAGCGCTAACACTCAAACAGCAAACTCTTTTCTCACTTGACCAGAGCCAGTCACAGCCACACACAAACCAACACCTCTGAAATTGATGATTACATTGAGTGGCACTCAAAATCTATCAGTGCTCCCTCTCTTGGCTCTGCCAAGCTGCACTGGCTGTGTGTGTGTGTGTGTGGTGTGTGTGTATATGTGGGTGTGTGTACAATGTGTAATTGACTGTGAAAGCCTGTGTGTACAACCAAGAGTGTAACAGACCGTGTGTGTGTGTATATATTACTTGCATAACACTCATGTGTCCCTCTGTGTCCCAAGACTACACCTACACACACCTACACACACACCTACACACACACACACACACACA